AATCGAGGTCAAAACGGAGCTAAGCCAACGCTTCAAGATGAAGGACCTTGGAGAAATAAGCTACATCCTCAAAATGGAGGCAACTCGAGACAGATCAAAGAAAGCTATGGGAATATCACAGAAGAAATATATTGGTGATCTTTTAGAAAGGTATAATATGATTGACTGCCAAGTTGCGTCAACACCACAAGTTACTGGATTGAATCTGGTTCCAGAAAGTGATATGAAACCAGATGAAATTACGAAACAACCCTACGATTATCGTGGTATTGTTGGGTCGCTGCAGTACTTAGTCCGGGGTACGAGGCCCGACATAGCTAATGCAGTTAGAGAGCTTAGCAAGTTTTTTTCTTGCTACAATAAGACGCATTGGGAGGCAGCCCTTCGAGTACTGAGATACTTGAAAGGGACGTCCGAATACGGCCTCTATTTAGATGGGACTTTAAGAGATGTGCAGTATGAGGTCTACACGGACGCAGCTTTCGCGTGTCAACAAAAAAGAACGTAAATCAGTCTCTGGCTACTTGGTTCTATTAGCTGGAGCATGTATCTCTTGGTCTAGCTCTAGACAATATTGTGTTGCTCTATCAACCTTAGAGTCTGAGCTTGTAGCATTGAGTGAGGGAGCAAAGGAAAGCGAGTGGTTGTGGCACTTGTTGACCGAATTAGGATTTGTGCCTAAGCAGCCTATTCAAATTTGGTGTGACAGTACGGCTGCTATAAGTTGTGTCCAGAATCCTGGAAATCACAAAGGCACAAAACATATTGAGACCAGGTATCTTTTCACTCCAGATCTGGTTGAACAGGAAAGAGCAAAGTTGAGTTTTTGCAGGACAAATGAGATGATTGAAGACCTCCTAACCAAGGCATTCCAGTTGGTCAGTTTGCAATCCTTAGAGCTAAGATGGGTGTCCGCAATTTAGCACAAGTTGCTCCAAGGGAGTGTTAGACGGGAGAATATCCTGTTAAACCAGATATGCGTAGTATACTTATTGTGCTCACTTTGTATAGTGCTAAACTATACATGATCTTATATGAGAGATTTTATGGAGATGAGTATGTCACTAGATGTCCCACGGACATGGTGATCAGTAATTGGGCAGTGACTTAGAGACAACCTGCAACCCTAGTCCCCAGTGGCTATCCACTAATTGAGACCATAGATACATGAGTGGCTTGCATGTATATCTGTTGGCTATGATGTGCCGAGTTGATTCTGCAGGCCCTTTGGTCATTCCAGTTTCTTCTCTAAACTGAGCCCTTACTGCTGCCCAACCGCTGCTACTCAACCACACTTTTCTTCCGATTGCTCCGCTCCCACTGGGGCCTACCAGTCTATGCTCCGATACTTCAGCTTTTCCGTTTCTGAGTCTTGGTCTGGGCGCCCCATCACGTTGCTGCCTCGCGGATAATGGGGTTAAATTTACTGGCACCGGGTGCAGATGCAATATGTCAATGAACATAACTGTACGCCTAGAAATAGTACTTCAAGTATTACGCCTAGAAATAGTACTTCAAGTATTACACTTTAGAACTACTACTACGTCGGACTTGGACACTAGTCGAGTGGGGAGATCGTTAGCATGTGCAGGTAGGTACCATAACGTCGCCTAACATTGGGGCTTTGACGTGGTCGGCGTCAGCGTTGCCGTCGTCGGGGCGGGTGACGGGGGCTTGGCGGTGGCAGCCGTCGTTGAAGGGGAGGGGGTAGAGGTCACGGGGCTTGTGGTAGGGGATGGAGTAGCGGGGGCCTTGGTAGTTGTAGTAGGGGTGACGGAGGTAGCCGTAGTTGTGGGGGCAGGAGTGGTGGTGGATGTAGGGACCGGTGTAAACGTCGTGTTCACGGTGAAGTTGCGCTCGACGGACATGACGTTCTTCGAGTCCTTGCGCACCTTGGGGGTGAACAGTGTGGCTTTGACCGTCCAGTCTTTGGTTGCGCCAGCCACGGTCGACACGTCCACGGTAAACTTGTCTTCGAAAGTCGTGACTTCTTGGCCGTTGTTGAACCACTGGATGGAGTATCGTTCGTTCGGAATCACAACCGGACGAAGTTGGCCCAGCGGAATGAGCTTGAGCGATACGTCCTTGCCGTTTATGACAATGTCGTCGATAAACGTCACACGACTCAAAAACTGCTGCCACATGTTTTCCTGGCACACGTTGCAAAACTGGGGCGACGTCATGTTGCGCATCAAACACTTTTCGTTGGAGGGGCGGATCGTCTTGACATTGTAGCCGTCCCACGTCGGGTACGCGCCAATGTACTCTGGGTCGTCCATCTTGAACTCGTCCTCGTTGCCGTACTCGTACACTTCGACACTACACAGTTGCTTAGCAATGGGACCGACAAACGATCCGTAGCCCGTGACTTCCAGCACGTGGTCGCCAGGGGAGAACCCCCCCGAGGTGCTCCTGTATTCGGAAAACGACCGGTCCTGCGTCCCCCGCGTCGTCCATTCCAACGGCTTGCCATCCAACGTGATCGTGATCGAGTCCTGGGTGTCGGCGCCCGTCACAGATAAGTAAATGCCCCAACGCTTAAAGGTGCCAGTAGATTTAAACTTGACCTGATATGCGCCCTTTTTCAGGTCATGCCACATGTACCTTTGGTACGAAATCACAGCTTTTTCTTCTCGGAGATCGGGACGGGTTGGTCAACCAGTGCTTCCACGTCACGCCCTGCACGGACGGCGCCGAGTTCGCCCCGACGTACGCACCCCCTCCGTCGTATTCTTCGCCGACTTTGCCAAAGTTGTGACCCATCTCATGACGCAGCACCACAGTGCCCGTGGTCGGCGACCGAGTGCCAATGACAAACTCGCCCCCGAGACCCCCGTAGTAATCGTCGTTCCCGATCAGCGACGGAAAGTCACACGCACTGTCGCCAGTTACTTTGCATACTTCGCGAGCGTACGCGGTCTTGCGTGTGAAAATGCCCCGCAGTTGAGTCCCCGACCGGTACAGTCCAAAGGCAGTGTCCAGGGGCTTGCCTCCCACCCCAATGCCCGACTGGTTCGATGGCACGTAGACGGCCCACACGTTGAAGAGGGGGAGGTACTGGGTGAACGTGTCGCCATTGAACATCTCGTCCGTCAGCCGCTGTATGTCGCTGAAGAAGCGCGAGTCTTCTGACGCCGTGTAGCCGTCGCCCATGAACACGATGTCAATACGGTTCTTGGGGTCGCCAGAGTTGACGATGCGACGCACGACGGGGGGCGCCGCCACCCTCGCCGCTTCGGCTCTTTCGACGTTGTTGGACTGCAGCGCGCCTTGGGGGCACCGGCGGCGCAGGTGGCTTAACACAGCGTTGGTGCTGCCCCCCAAAATCTCGACAAACTTTTGGGACGTTGCATCCCCTCGTTGGGGGAGGATTATTTCGTCGGCGGTGGGCAGATTTTGACGTCCAGTGACGATTTCAAGCGTGTCGGTCGTGCTTTGAATGGCGCGGTGCAGCTGGGTCAAATGGACCGACTCGATGAGTTCGCATTGCGAGGTCTTGGTGTCGACCAGGACTTTTACCGAGAACGTGTCGAGGGCGCAGACGGCCGTGGCGCCGACCAGGAGGGACTGATACAACTTCATGTGTGCGAGTTGGTGTGTGTCCGCAAGTGCAAATTGAATCGGTTGGTGAACGACCAGCTTGGACACCTCATTTCGGACCTACATGCAGTGAAGTGGTACACTAGTGATGGGCTACGCATTTGTAATAATGTAGGCGCATGAATATCCATCCAGGTGTTTCGAGATGTGATTGGGGCTTGAGTTCTGCCATCTTGGACTGGAGCAGCTTGCAGGAAGTTCCTGTCGAAGGCGTCCCAGGTACCAGCACATTTCGTTATTGGAACCAACAGAACGTTATACCAATCGGCTTTCTAAACCTTTTTTTTCAACCAGAGGTACTGTATCCTGTACAGCCCTACAGGACTTACACTTACAGTGCGCGACAGCTGTTAACTGTAAGCTTGCTCATCAATATCCAAAATCTCCATTTTCATATGTATGAAAAGAGTCCCATTTGTTTTGACTTGTTTAGTGTTAACTGTACTACTACCGGTAGTAGTAAATTGGTAGAATTCTGAGAAAAATCACTCTATAAATACATAGCCTTATTGATACATAGAGGTGTATCCAATAGCCATATGGAGAGAGAGCTGAAAGTCAGGTACAGTAAGCTCTCCCTTAACTCCGCACTAGGCCACTTAATCGTCCGCTTCATGGCTGTCCGATCTGGTTCGCAACAGTAGTACTCAATTTCTATTGGCTATAAATATAACATATGTTTGCTCTCCTCCGCTGCAATTTCGCACAAAATAGTGCTGTCCACCACACTCCTAGCAGCAATATTTGCATCATTCCACACGATGCACTGACTGTTCCTTTCAACGGTGAAATGAACGATAATTCCCATAACTGTATCTTGTGCAATCACCGACGAAAGTGTGTAGTATTATCCGGAAAGTTATCCGGAAATCTTCGTCGTCCATTAACATCCACGACTTCAGTTTGCATTTCAATCATGCACGGCGCTTACGATGGTTGCTTGATGCATTGTAACCGCTGCAAAACTAGTATCCCTTGGGAGCTCTACGTTGACGGGTCTACCAACTTCCCCTTAAAGACCTGTTATTCGTGTAGGGAAAGCAGGAGCGGTGGCAACACCCCTGACAACACGTTCTTCTTCGAATCAAGTGATCCTGACTACGTCACGATGAACTACGCATCGTTCGACGCGTACAGAGACGAAACGTACGACGCCTTTTCTGAAAGCTCAGGTCAGCGGGTTATCGCCTGCATTGCAAGGCCTTCGGTTGCCAATAAAATCGATTCAAATGCAGGCGATAACACTCCATATCACATTGCAAGCCATAATCCAACCGTAAATCTGCATGCTTGTATACATACACACCACTTTATCTACATCGACATATATCGCTAAC